AAAACATAAAAATCAGATAAACTACTACATAAAATGATGAAAATAAAGATCATGATCGTGGCCGTCGATCTCCGGCATCTCCTGATGGTACATGTGTCGCAATCTCTGACGATGTCCTCATCATAGCTCTTTGTAAATCTACTACACTATAACTTCTTATTTGTAAAAAGTGCACTTATTCCAAAACGCTTATTCTATATAAGATATGAATAAATTTTAAGAAATCATTCCCTTCATTTGTGCATGTACGCACGTACAACAACAACAACATCAAGCCTTTATCCCACTTATCCCACTATATGAGGTCGGCTACATGAATCCTTTTTTCTCCATTATGCCTTGTTAAAAGTTAAATTATCATTTAAATCAAATAAGAAAAGGTGGTTTCTAATATTTTGTAACCAAGTCTATTTAGGTCTACCTCTATCTTTCTTAACATTAGTCAAATCTAATACATCTAATTTCTTAACCAGGTCATCAGAAGGTCGCCTTTTATGTGACCAAACCATCTACCCTCTCTAATTTTATCTTCCACTGAAGCTACTCCAACCTTTTCATGTATATGCTCATTTTGTATCGTGTCTCTAAGAGTAAAGCTCTGATGGACATCTCTACAACACTTAACTTAATATTATGTTTCTCTTTTAATGGCCAACATTCTGCACCATAAAGCATTGCAGTTCTATCCACCGCTTTATAGAATTTTCCATTAAGTTTGAGGGGGACTTTTCTATCACACAACAAGCCCGATGCATTCCTCCACTTCAACCATCCAACTAGAATTCTAATAATAATATCCTCATCTATTTCACCGTCACTCTGAACAATAGACCCAAGATATCTAAAACGTGTACTCTTTTTAAAGACTCAATCACCCAAAGTCACAATCCCTCCACAAGAACTATTACTACTGAAATTACACTCCATATATTCAATTTTAGATCTACACAAACGATAGCCTTTAAACTCTAAGGTTGACCTCCATAATTGAAGTTTACCTTCAACTCCCTCTCTAGTCTTATCAATAAGAAGAATATCATCAGCAAAAAGCATACACCAGCGTACAACCTCTTGCAATTTCTAGTGAGAACATCCATGACTAAAGCAAAAAGATATGGGCTTAAGGCAAATCTTTGATGTAATTCAACTGAAATAGGAAAATACTTGGTCAAACCACCTTGTGTCTGAACACAAGTAACAGCTCCTACATACATATCATTAATGACTTGAATATAAGCATTATTAACCCCCTTTTTTTCTAGAACTCTCCATGACACTTCTCTTAGAACTTTATCATATGCTTTTTCTAAATCAATAAATATCATGTGTAAATCCTCCTTATTCTATACTTCTCCATCAAACCTCTCAATAAATGTATAACTTCCATAGTAGACCTACCCGACATGAATCCAAATTGATTTTGAGAAACATTAGTATCACGCCGCAAACTATGCTCCATAACTCCCTCCCATGGTTTTAAAGAATGACACATTAAATTAATTCCTCTATAATTCACATAATCTTGTGCATCACCTTTATTTTTAAACATAGGAGTAAACATACTCATTCTCCATTCATCTGATATAGTTTTAGTCTTCAAAATAATATTAAAAAGTTTAGTAAGCCAAGAGACTCCATCTCCTAAGCATTTTCACACCTCTATTAGAATATCATCAGGTCTAACCAGTTTTCCACCCTTCATTTTCTTTAAAGCCTCTCTAACTTTGGTTTTACTAATGCATCGATAAAAATAAAAATCGTTTGATGAGGACATCAGCAGGAGATTCTGGCGCATTTATTAGAGGAGACATCGTATATCGACGGCTATGATTAGGAGTCTTTAATTGTGATGCATTAATGTATTTTTTTATTTATATTCTAATTTTTATCATTGTACCCCTGAGAGTGATTAGTTACTGTTGTCGCCCAGAGGGCAATTTAGTGTTTTTTTCCTTGAGGCCTATATATATGAAGGTCCTAGCTTTTGTATTGGATGATAATGATTTTGAATGAAAATTTCAGCGCTTATTTCTTTTCTTTGTTGTGAGCTCTTGAGAGAGGAGATAACCCTAAGAGAGGGTCAAGCAATTCCCGTTAGCCGCTGGTAGAGTCCGGGCTCGCGGTTTGCATTTGTTCTTATTCTTTATTCCCCTTTCCTCTTCCCTATAAGACCGGCTATCCCATTCCCCCTCCCAAATTCCAGCCAAACCTTCTTCCCCCACCTAAACCGTCGGCCAACCTTTACCAAATCCCCCACCCACCAGCCCTATTCCACCCAAAACCCCAAACTGACCCCCTCCATAGCCATTGGCCCCTCCCTAGCCCAACCCTAGCCGCCGGCCAAGCCAAACCCCCCATCCCCTTGATTCCAATTTCCAATCATCCACTTATTACTTTCATAATTTAGAGCATTTTAATTTGGAAGTTTATTTAATTCAAAATTCAAATGAATTTGAATTTCAAAAACTTTCCAAATTAAAATAAACTTATTTTAGAAGTTCCTCTAATCGCTACAATCTAAAATTAATTTGGATTTAATTCCAAATCTCACATTCAATGCATGTGTCCATATACATTGTATGTGGACACCTCTCCCCTCCCTCCTTTGGTCATCCCCCCTATCTCTCTCTCTCTTAATTAATTCTTCCTCACTATTGCTCTTAATCAACTCCCCTCCCATTAAGGTGTGTCGCCCCTACCTACCCCAATTAGAGGAGATTCAAAATTCAAATTATTCCCGTCTTCCCAACATTAAAATCTAAAATTAAATTTCATATTTTAAAATTGTTTTCCCTCCCCCAACCTAAACCTAAAATCTGAAATTAAAAGTGGCCCCCTATCCTTGGCCGACCACCCTAAGAGAGAGGACACATGACTTTCCCCGACATCCTTACCCATGAATGGCCAATCCCGACCAAGATCATGGATTCTTCTAAGATAATCAAGGACTAGTGGATGTTCTTTGTTCCCCCTTCTTCGACATCAATTGGGAGATTGACCAATTCGCTGAAGACTACGTCGACCGGATCATCTTCTCAATGACAACTGCTCTCAACGAACATCGGCGTCCCGTTTAGTGGCAAATCCTCCATCCACTGACCTCCTCTTCCCCGTATAACTCTTCTTTGAGTAATTTTAGTTTCATAGACTAGCTTATTTGCCCACATCCGTCCATGATGTGAGAACCCTTACCTATTTAACACTACACCCGGGTGCCGATGCAATGGCCCTTGTACACTTGTCGTTGTATTCAGGCCATATAGCGCGTCACTTCCAGGGAACGCCCTAGCATTACCACAATGTATTAAATGATTGATGTCATGATTATTCGATAAGTTTTACGCTGACCGTCGGCTACTTAACGCAACCCTCAAAGCATGAACATTACATGTAAAAGAAACATACTACTAATTAATAAAAGCATTATAATACATTAGACCAAGTTTTACAACCAAAATTTTACTTTGTTATTGAACTCTATGGAGTCTCAAGTGTAATAGTAGCACAAGTCCAGGTAGTTATACATGTAAGTTAAAGATTTAATTTACGAAATATCAAATATGATTAATATAACTCATAGTAAAAAAATGAATCAAATTCTAGTAAACTAATTAATATATTTATGATTTTAAAGCTAATAATATCAAAATTATGTATATTATAATGTCTATATCCTTGGTTATGGGTTGCAATAATCAAATAGCCAATAATCATTTATTAAAAATCATAAACATAAGTAATAAAATATGTTCTGCAGCAGATTTAGAAAATATAATCCATCCATATAAAATAATTGAAGGCTTCATTATTACTATATTTAAATGCAATTGTTCAACTTGATTAACTGCATATTACAATTAGTTTTTGTCAATAGTTGATGAAGAGTTGGCAAGCAAAGATATTTAAGCATGTAGATCTATGTTTAAATCCTACACGAACTATAAGATATTCTTTTAATATTGTTTGTATTTTAATCAGTCTAATATTAGCTTGCTTGGCTTTGCAAAGCCTGTGATCAACCAATTAGTCTTAGCCAACTCAACAATCAGTTCAGTCTCTTTCACCAGGCATGAGAAATCCACCCTCACATACTCAAAACATAATTTGCCCAACTCTCCACCACCCGACACACAATTTGATGCGCTACTATTTGATTTGGCCCTAAGTTCAGGTGGGCGTCCAAATGCATCCTATATCCACACCCATTGTGGTGATGAATAATTTATGTCATCTAAAGCTTCATTTGTCAATGGCTCTAAATTTTTTTGTCTTTTCAAAGATCTGATTTATCAAAAATTAATTTTGTGCTCCAAGCATATAATAGAAAGCTCTACATTACCAATCATATGCTTCGTTACTTCAAGCTTATAGGTAACACACTTGCAAGAGCAGTTTATCCACCTCAGTGAGAGTAGCAATGTCTTTATTTCATATAAAATAATGTACATTTAAAGTTCACGCATAAGTTCCAAAGCCTAAGATGAGCAAAAGCCCTATGCAGCTACTATGTCAATCAGACAAAGAATTATATGCAACAGATTTGTTGATCCAAAAATCTTGTAATGAATCAAAGCAGCTAAGTTTTAAGCAAAAAATTAAACATTAAATTGAAATTCAAGAGTCACCCTAGTAAATGTAAACTAATGGTGGAATTTTCAAGCAAGATTTAATAAATAGTAAATCATGGAAGCATTAAACCATGAAAAATATTTGACATGATAGATGTTAAAATAGCTAAATTCTAGTAAATTATTGGGCATGTATTTTAAAGAATTAGAATTTAAATAAAGGAGAAGAAAAGGCACAATGAGAAGTGGTGTAAATCTCTGAAATTCTACTTCCTCCAAGATTTAATAAATCCAAAATTTAACCTAAAATACAAGGAAAACAGAATATAAAAAGGTAACGGGATTTATGTGGCTCAAGAGACAGTTTGGCAATATTTTATCATACTCACGGCAAATATACAAAGCCGTACAATTTATTCTAATCATACTTACCCAGAGGTAGCACCAATGCCTGCCTCAATTCCTTCCCGCAAACCATCACCAACAGAATAATCAATATGCCCTTCCATGGGAAGGCAAAAATCCTAGTAAAAATAACACATCAATAAACATCCATTACGATAGCATCAAAATATAACAAAATCCCATTGTTTACCTTCACGATAACTTGAACAAGGTCGCTGGAGAGCACAACCAGAGTATCCACAATAGTTCCAATTTCTAAATTAGGACATCTCCCTTTCTCGATTATCCTCGCTTTCTTCAAAACGATCCCTGCACATTAGCAATCCAGGACAAATAAAATCATGCCAAACCTAATAAAAGAGCTAAGCAAATTCATTCGTATCAGACAGCAATGCACAGAAAACGATCGTTTAGAACCCTCGTACCTAATAAATTAAATAAGGGTTGGGCATCTCACCATAGCCCTCATCGAGGGAAGCGGTATGGAAGACGCCGGCATAGACGGAGCCGTCCTTGACCTGGACCTCGACCGCTAGCCCCACGGCGCAGAACGTCGCCAGAAGAAGCGCGTCGTCGAAGGTGATCTCCGTCATTTCCAACGCTACCTCAGCTTCTCCATTACTGCAACCCATTACTCGTAAATCTCTCGAAGTACCAGTCTCCCTTCGCGGTTTAACTTGATCGATTTCTACTTGCACCTTTAACTTATAGTGCTTCTTGTTTTACACTAATCGAGAAGGAGAAGTAGAAGGAGAAGGAGGAGATCAAAACGATACTCGACTCGGGAAAGCTTGTCTCGCTGGGCGAGTGAGGGCAGGGTCGCGCGCAAATAGGTAGCGCGGGGCAAGTGCATTGCTGCTCGAGGTCAGCCGGGGTCGCGCGCGGAGTGGTCGCAGCGGAGCGGTTGCAGGGTGGGTGCGTCGCGCGGGGTCGGGTCGCGGGCAGCAGGGGCAGGGTCACGCCGCAGCGGGGGTTAGGTTAAACCAGGTTTGCGGGTTGACCCGGCAACCCGTTGGGTCAACCTGAACCCGACCCGTTTTTCAAACGGGTCAATTTCTGGAACCCGAACCCGACCCGTTTTGAAATCGGGTCAGGTCCAACTCGAATTTTTAGGGTCGGGTTCTCGTGTCGTGTCAAATATTGACACCCCTACATGTCCCATCCCTAACACAACCCATTATCATCTCAATCAAATATAACACTGTTAAGGTATATGGTGATAAAAACTTTTATAAGCATGCCTTGAGCCAATTTTTATTAAAAATTAGGGTTAGTTTTCTAAATATTAAAATTATGAAATAAAAAATTTGTAGGGTTTAATTTTTTTTTAATTAGAAATAAATAAAATGTAAAATATTTACATAGATAATTTAGTATCACATTTAGCCCATCTTAAAAAAAAAAAAAATCACCCAAATTGGGTGAATTTCTTATGCAATAACTCATACCTCTCATAAACCCAACCAATTTGTCATTAGTACAACCCCGCACAAACTAACCATGAGGGACCCAACCCGAACTTCATTGTCCATACATTAACCCATCTTCATTGTCATCTCAATCAAATCTAATAACTTCAAGACACACAGTGATTACATTTTTTATAAGAATATCTTTAGCTAATTTTTATTAAAAATTTAGAGCAATTATTTATATATTAAAAGCGTGGAATGAAAAAAATTGTATGATTTATTTATTTTTTAATTAGAAGTAAAGAAAATGCATAAATTATATGTGTGAGAAATTTAATAAATTCATGATATCAAATATCAAATCAAAGTACAAAATATTCATAACACCTAATTTAGGTTACTTTCCCTATGTTTCATATATATAAATATTTAAGGCTACCAAACGAAAAAAACCTGCCATTGTGCACTCGTCAAATATTTAAGTTGTCACGATGTGTACTTGTTAGTTATAACTTGTCACAATCATCGTCTCACTAATAACCTTTCTATATGGTCTATCCTTCTAGTTCCAATGGTGAGGATACAAAGATAGGAGCACTTGTAGCCAATTAAAATCTTCCATAACAAACATATACACCTTACAAAATCCCATTTAATTGTTACAAAATTGTTTATCATCTTAGATTATTAGAATTTCTCTTATATCAGAGGGTAAAGTTGGGAGCTTACCTATAAATACTTCTCTTCGCAAATGAATTTCCATGTTAGTTTTAGTGTTGTTACATTCCTTGAGTGTTGGTAATTTAATTCTATCTATTTGTCCCCTCCCCAAAAGCCTATTATTTACAATTTGGTTGAAATGTGACAAAGCAGTGGTGACATCTTCACATGCAAAGCAATCGATGGAGTAAGTATAGGTCATGCAACTTAGGGCCACAATCATTTCTTCGAGATAAAGCTACTTATAACTAAAATTACCCATTGGATGTAGCCTCGATAAGGTTCTTGATCAAAGACCTCTCTTTATTGTAACACATAGCTTCCTACAATCATAATCGACCATTGCATAACTCAAAGATAAAGTCTTATATCTAGGTGCTTCATGATCTCCTAATGGAGATTGAATCATGATCTCCTAATTGGATAGCGTTGGAAAGGCAACAAATTCAAACTGAAAATATAAAAAGTACACCACTAACCTTGAACAAACAATCACAAAAAGGTTGAGACCATCACATCAAGCTTTGTGATAGACCGATCACCATCTCTGAGATCATTAGAGACAAAAAAAAAAGATGTTGAGAAGAGGAAAGTGTAATGACATGAAAATATTGCAAATAATTTTAAAGTGAACAATCTAAACAATAAAAAAATTTGAGTTACAGCGCTGCGGTGATGTGCTTGCGAGCACAGTGGCACTGGGAGGCATCGAGAACGTGCCATTGCAACGTTGAGCTCTTTGAAATTTCTAAAAATAATTCAATGCAACAGCGCTGAGATATATAGTGATGTGATGAAGTGCTGTTTTACATGCAGCACTATGACGCTAGGTCATAAGAGCGTTGTGCTAGTCACTAAACAACATTTTTATATATAGTTTATATTATATTTAACACTAAGCCTCCCATCCTCTTATTTCACTTGGCTTGCCGGGTAAGGAAGAAAGAGATGATAGAGAAGAGGGGAGAAGGAGAAGAGGGGAGAAGGAGAAGAGAGAAAATTGATATGAAAATGGATGCATAAGAAGATTGATAAATATGATATGATACACCAATGGATAGGAAGTAATGTCTTCTTACATGAAAATCACATAGTTGATTTGTGATATATGATATAAGACTGATTCCTAAAAATATTATTAATACGATTGAGATCGATTCTTGTAAGGTTGGCCTACATGACTGGATACAGGAAAAATACAACAGGTAGCTAGGTATCATATCTTTCATATATTACTTAATATTGATACGTTGCTTGAATATGCATATGATATGAGAATATATGATAAATTACATTTATGCCATGACATGATATGATCTATAAATGATATAAGAAATGACTGATACTTATATATAATATGATTTATAAGTTATATATATGCACATGTGTGTGTGAATCATCTACTATGAATTATTCAATATATAATATGTTGCATTGCATTTGATATACTACATTGGATATGGTGCATGATAGACATATATAACATAGACATTGTGCGATGTGCATATGATAATAACATGTGAACATAATTTTCAAGCAAGTATATGAATTAGACTATTTTGTAATTGATAGATATAGAAATGATTGAACTACTGATTCTTTATTTAGCTACTGGTTACTACTCATGAGTTATACAATTATACATATTGTTATTATTCATATGACCTAATAGTGTTCGCAATGACTACTAAATGCTTTTATAGTTATATGTTCATACTAATATTACTTGAATTATTACATCCATGTTGTTGCTATTAAATTGTATTGATTTCAGTGTTAGGTTCTGGTAACCTATTGATCTGTTAGCTCATTCTGTGATTTTACATATTTTTTAGGAAAGGGATAGAAACCAGTAGAGCAAGGCAAATCGAGATTAATGTTTTATTTATTTTTGTATTTTATTTTATTTTATTATAGTCAGGAGTTGAAAGAGATAGATGTACGTATTGATAGAACTTCTAGCTAGTGCATATGAATTTTGAAGAATAGATACAATTTTATTCTTTGATATATATATGATTATTAGTTGTCTCCGTTGGATTGATTTATACTAATGGGTTATTAATAGTTCTGATAAATTAATGAAAAGATTAAAATATATAATTCTTTCAAATTTAATCTTAGGACATGACAGGAAATTCGACTTTCTCTTTTGAGAGTTTTTGTAACTATCGATTGTTAAGTGCTCTAACTCATATTTGTCAATGATAGGAATAATTTGATTTGAATTGAGCTTTCAAATACATTTCCCTAAATAAATATAGTGCAATGACTTTTGGTTATTTGTGTTGAAACAAGTTTAATGCATAGCAGGAGGAGAATGCAGAGAAAAGAAAAACAGAGAAGAAGACGAAGTATAATGTAGTACTAAATGTGTTCCCTTCATTAACCTTAGCTTATACAGTAATCTCATTTATATAGAAGGCTTTATGATCTAAAGATTGGATGAAGAGATAAGCAACGGTGAGGATACATAGACAAATACCATCAGATATCAGAGATAGTGGGGAGCAAGTCTGTACATGAAAACCATCAAATATCATTGGACTTAGTGGTTTGAGTGAACTCTGCAAAATTACTTTAACAAATTGCAAGTCTTTTGAGTTATATAAATTCAAAATTCCCATCTCCTTTTTTTTTTTCTTGAGACGGGGTAATCGTTAATCTGCCCGTTGCCACTCTCTTAGAGGAGACGTTTGGCGGAGTAACTAATCTCTCAGCAGGTCTAGTGGCAACCAGCCCCACAGGTGTCGGACCACTCACTTATTTTCTCCTCACTTCAGGAGTCGTGCTGCTTGAGAGAGGAATCAAATGTAGTTTGGGGATTCTCAACTCATTTGTCTAATTAAAACCATCTTTAAGGGGCTATCCGCCTATCCCTCTACTTGGCACAATCAAATATATTTAGGGAAATAAAGTAGATGAATTGAGCTCAAGTTATCCTTTAATTAATCGAGTTCAATTTCAAGCTAGAGTCTAATTTTACGAAATTGAGTTGACTCGTCAGAAACCCATTGACAAATTTGAGAAGTCTGAAATAAAATTTGAATAAAGTTAACGAGTAATACATTCTATTCTTGGTTTATATGAATCCTTGATAAATTCTAGCATAGTTGATCAAAATATAAGATCAAATTGATTATTATAATGTTTTCACACTAACACTCCGTTTGAGATAACTTTCTAACTAATTTGTAAAGCTGCTATCTAGAAATTAGTATATTTTAAAATGATTTTTCTTAAAACAATGTTAAAATAATCATTTAATTATAAAAAAATTCTGATGTATATAAATATAAATTAATTGAATTAAATTTTTAAAAAGTGATGAGACAATTTTACAAACTCTAAAATATAATTTAAGTAATTTTGATTAATTTAAATGATATGTTCATATTTTTTTTTTAACTTCTGATAAGACATATTTAATTAACTTACAATAAATTTTAATAAATTTACACACTAAATTACGCTACCTTTAATTCTTCTTTTTGGTCGAATTTGAAGATTTAGGTTTTATTTGGGACAGTTTTTTTATTGGTTCTTAGAATAATTTTTTAGCATAAAATTTTTAATTTTTATATAAAAAAACTACTTTAAGAAGCATAAAGAAAGTCATACCAAACGGATAAAATAAAAAAAAAAAAATCATCCCAAACGGAGAGCCTCAAACTCAAACAGAGCCTTAGGCTCTCCATTTAGGATGACTTTTTACTGCTTTTTAAAGCAATTTTTTAAATTATCCTTTAATTAATCGAGTTCAAGTTCAAGACAAAATCTAATTTTACGAAATTGAGTTGACTCGTCAGAAACCCATTGACAAACTTGCAAAGTTTGAAATAAAATTAGAATAATGTTAACCATTCTATTCTTGGTTTACATGAATCCTTGATAAATTCTATCATAGTTGATAGTTGATGAAAATATAAGATCAAGTTTATTATTATAATGCTTTCACACTAACATTTTATTTGGAATAGCTTTCTAACTAATTTGTAAAGCTGTTATAGAAAAATTAGTTTTATAAAGTTGTCATAGAAAGCAGTTTTCTAGTACAAATTTTTTAAAAGTAATAAAAAAAATAATGGGTAAATAAAAATTATAATGAACTCAACAAGAAAATTGTCCCAAAATGAAGCCCAAGAAATTTTTTGATATATAAAAATTTTTAAGATAATATAGAAAAAAAAATTTTTTGATACAATACACTTTATAAGCTTTCATTTAAGAGGAATTTATTGATGATGTGAAGTATTCTCATATGATCATAGATCATTAAAACATATGAGAGTTCAGTTTAATCCCCTTAAATCCAAATCAAGAATAGGCGCAATCAATAACAAAGCAGTGGGAGATGCCCTTATAAGCCTCACTAGACAGTAATTAAAATCTTATCAGATTCCCATTTCAAAGCATCCATTACAAATCAGGAGTTCAAAATAATTTACATTCATGAAGAGAAGTAATCGAAGCTGATGGTCAACAGGAAACCTGATTGATATAACAACAAAGATTACATCTAAAATGATATAATCATTAACTAAGGCTTTATTTGGGAAAACTTTTTTGCTACTTTTTAAACTATTTTTTTTATTAAAAAGTCGTTTTAGAAAGTAGCAAAGAAGCTGTCCTAAATGAAGCATGGGACGGCTTTCTTATTGCTTCTAAAAGCAGCCTTCTAGTACAAAAGTTAACATTTTTGTACTGAAAAAATACTTTAAAAAACAGTAAGAAAGCTGTCCCAAAGAAAGCCTAAGATTCCCTTATGATATTCTTACCTTCGGTTACCAAAGGCTTTTGAGATTCTGGTAGGTGTTGTAAGTACAAATCATGCACCATCTCTACGTATTTATTAATATCCTTTTCTTCCCAATCAATGGTTTTTATTGGTGGTAGGTATCTTACTTTGAGTGGGGCTGGTCTCACACGGAGACTGTTCTTCCTCCAAGCTAGATGAGTGCCCGTCAAAACCATGGGAACTATTGGCAACTTGGACTGCAATGCTATGTGTACAAAGCCCTAATTTTGAGAAAGTAAAACAGTGAGAGGCAAATAGAAGAAGGAATTGCATTACAGGAGTCAGCATATCACAGTAAAAATTTCTCTATACCTTCTTAAAGGGAAGAAGCCTTCCGGTCTTCGACCGAGTTCCCTCCGGAAAAATTATCAAGGATAAATTTTTCTTGACAATGGCCTGAGCAACCTGAACTCCCAAGAGTAACAATTTAAATAATAAAAGCTATGGTTAGATAATACGAGGATTTAAAGGAAAAATTATTCTGAGCGGTGTCCGGACATGTTCGGAGGACAATCTGAACGTGCCACGTCACCCAATACACCTCCGGATGCGTCCGGACACCGCATAGAATAATCTCTCGGATTTAAAGACATACTACATGATTTTTATCTATTTAAATATCTAAGACTTAAATATTTATTTTTATTTGCATAACAACTTCATATTTAAATTCCATTAACAAATATCACAAATTTTAATTTATCTAAAGTGAAATATGCTTTTAATATATATATATATATATAATAAAGTGAAATATGCTTTTAATAAATATATTCTAATATAATTTATATACTAATATATAAATAAATAAAAATTATAAATTGTCTATGCAAATCCCCTTAGATGATGATATTGAGAATTGGTGAGTATATAATGATGGATAAGATTAGAAAATAAGAGACCTTTTTCATAGACTCAATTGCAGCAGCTGGGTTGGAGCGATCAATACGGAGATGATTGGCTAACACATATAGTTGGCCAAACATTGGGTACCATATTATCTGCAGCAGACAATACTGAGTTATTAAAGATATAAAGATAGAAGATGAATGTCAATAGATTTGTTATAGGAAGAAAATTTAGTTGAGGATATTATGATCAAAATTTTATTTGGATGAGTCTTAACACTACCAAAAAATAGGATTTTTTGCGGCAGTTGTTCAGAGTGGTTTCAAAACTGCCGCCGATACACTATTTTAGCATCAGTTTTGACCGCTATAATTTGCAGCGGTTAAAATCGGTGCAATTAAAAGCGGTTTAAACCGCTATGGAATGTCGTTGCAGCGCATCGCAATTACAACGGGATGTAGCAAGTTTTAGAACCGCTGCAAATTAAAATGTGGCGGTAATAACCGCCGAGAAAAATAAAAAATTGTGCTACAATAACCCTATTTTTTTGTAGTAAAGTAGAGTACAATATAAACCTTATTGATTATTCATGCGTTACACTTCAAAATAAATCTATGAATTATAATGCCTATCTTACTATATTTTGTTAAGGATATCTCAAAAGAGTGTTTATTCAAGTTAAATTCAAGTTATTGTGTCCTCAGCTTGAAGCAATATACCGAAGAATAGAAATTAGGTTTAGATATTCTAATCAAAATTTAGAATTTGTTTGGGACAGCTTTCTTATTGCTTCTTAATGCAGCTTTCTAGCACAAAAATTAAAGTTGCTTTAAGAAGCAGTAAAAAAGCCATCACAAACAAAGCCTTAGTCATAATTGATTTAGAAGTTTTAGATTTAGGCTTTGTTTGGGACAACTTTTTTCCTGCTTCTTAAAGCAGCTTTCAAGTGCAAAAACTTTAATTTTTGTCCATAAATTTTGTTTTATCAAGCAATAAAAAAACCCTCTCAAACGAAGCATTACTTTGAGATGAGTCCAATACCTGAATAATCAATCAACTCCTATATTACACTTATCTGAAAACAAATTCAAAGATTTTAAAGCACATCCTAACCAAACTTTGGCCAGGATATCCTCAATTATTTCCATTTAATTTCTTCAAGGAAAGAAGATTCTTAAAATAATGTAGAAGATGCCGATTGAAATTTCAGTGGAAGAAGCTGCAGTATGTTACCTCCTTTTTGGCAATGCCCACCGAGCCAGTTGGAGTCAGCCACATGACAAGGAAAATATCAAGGGGTGATGCATGGTTGCATATGTAGATAGCCCTCGTATTGGAAAATTCAGAACCTTCTATTTTTATGGGGTTTCCAAGAATCCACATCTGTCAACATAACAAAGATTGGTCCTCATAAGAGATGCTTGATAGTTTTAACGATCTTAAAGAATAAGATTGTGCGAAAAAGAAAAGAAAAGAAGAAATAATTGAGATGCAGTGTTCAAGGTACAAGCAGTGTTCAAGGTACAAGCATAGATATGGATAAGTTACAAATATAGCGAAGGCGATGCCAGCAAAAAAGTTAGAAGATACCTAACCAAAATGTAAAACAAAAGAAAAAAATGTTCAATTATTTATCAATATTGCTTATGCTTTAGCTTTCTCCTTAAATTTCTCTTCCCATTAGTTTGAGACAAATATGCTGCTACTCCGTTGAAAAAATAGGAAAAATGAATGAATTAGATAAATTGTCTAAAGATCAGCTTCAGATTTTTCAACTATTTATAATATTTCTATCCCCTTCTCCAGAAGGTTAATGATTCGTTTGGGATAGCTCTTTTTACTAATTTTTAAAGCAACATCTTAGTACAAATATTTTTTTAACTTGAAATTTGTATAATAAAAAGCTGCTTTAGAAAATAGTAAAAAAATAGTCTCAAACGAAGTCAAAGTTTGTAAGAACATACAAGAAATTGAAGTTAGCATTAAATACCATACACCTACATACACTGAAAGTAGCAAAGCTTAAAAAAGAATTCATATAACCTTTAAAATAAGAAAGAGGCATCTCTTACACAGACCCTTCATATATCCAACCCACTATCATCATTAAATGAAAATCAACTTATATCTTCACCTAAACTTTATTATGTGAAAGCTATAATCCAGTATTCATCAAGAATTATATAAAAAAATAATGCCTCCAAGATACCTTCATTGTCTGCTTCTATTACTATGGAGTTTGAATGCAATTCAAGTTCCATACAATTCATAAAACTCAACTGTTGCACCCTTTTCAAAAATATTACATATTAGTAATACTAGCACAAAATTCTGCAAATTATTTTCGTAAAATGTAGGTTCATGAATGTATTAATCAGTTTAGTTCATTCATTTCTTGTAATTCAAATATGTAATTTTTTTTTTTTTCACACCAGAAATTGAAACCAAAGAGGAAAAGTTCGTATCAAAAAGGTTATCATTACATCCGTCAAATAAAAGAGAGTGGATAAGATGAATCTTGTATAGATCCCGACGGCGCATGGAGAAAAAACAAGTGCTTCAGCGTCTTTTCATAAGTCCGTAAATTTTTTTCACAGCATAAATTGAGACCAAAGAGAAAAAGTTCTAATCCAACAGGTTAGCATGCATAACTTCCGTCAAATTAAAGAAAGTGGATAAGATGAATCTAGTAATAGTGAAGTAAATCAGAAGCGAAGTAAAATAAGGAAGCGATAAGAGGATGTTTAACACCTCAATGAGAAAAGAATGGGTAATGTTGGGATGCAATGGGTGTGCAAGGATAGTACTGAAATTTCTATAAAAAAATCAAATTAAGATAATAGAACAAATATTGAGTTCACAAATACAGAGCATAAAAGTTTACAAAGTTTAAAAAGATTTATAATTCATTACAAAAATAAATAAATATTACCCTAAGCTTAAACAAAAAGAGCTAAATAAACAATTTTTCCTCATATAAAATTGGAGATAATAATAAAGATGTAGCATTATAAATGACCAAGAAGAAAAAAAAAATATGAGACCGTCCCTAAAGGTGATAGAAAAGGATTGACAAAGGAGCGCATTAGAGGCCTGTTCAATATATATAATAATCCTATTGTGGGTGATGTGCCTGTGAAGATCATGTATTGTATAGTAGTCCGGTTTTAGGTTATGTTGTTCTTGCAAGACACAACACCATGTATATTTCCTATAAATAGGTTATAAGTTGATGTATTGTAAGCCCCTCTTATAATAGCCCCCCTTGGAATAGCTCATTAATAAAAAAATTGGATTTCCTGTGATATCTCTCCCTCTCTCTCTCTTGCAAGAAGCTCAAGCTTCCTCCAAGAATGTCATAACCTATGTTGCACCGATAAACCTATTTATGAAGGCGTGCTGTATCCGATACACCGATACACGGATACGCCTCCGATACTCCACCGATACGTGTAGGATACGCCAAAGCCGTATCCAATTAAAATACTATTTAATTTCAAAAGGACACGCCGTTGAAAAACAAAAAGAAATCCGAAAAAAAGACGTGTCATATTTACTTTCGCGGTTGCGAGCAAGATTCTCTCATTTCCGAGATGGATTTGAGTCTCTTGATGATATGAAAATATTAAAAATTATTAATCTTTCACTTGATGAGCCTGAATTAGAAGCTATGATATTTATTGAAGATGATATGGAAGTTCAAAGACAAACCAATGAAGAAGATAATTATATCATTCCTTCTATTGAATAGTTGAAACTTCATGTGCTAGATAATTTATGTTTATGCTTTTGTTGTTGTATTAGACATTTAATACTTACTTATATTTTGATATTATAAGTTACAATGCTACAAATGATGTTGTTGCCATTTTTTTGTAATATCAAATATTATGTTTTGATTGCTTTCTTAATTTTTATGTATTATTTATAAATTATAATGCCCTGTCCGCGCCATACCCGTATCCTGTATTTTAAGAATTGACGTGTCCCGTATCCATATCGTATCGTATCCGTGTCGCCGTATCTGTATCGGTGCAACATAGGTCATAACAATATGACCTAGCATAGAAATCTTTAATGGGTAGCTTTAATCCCACTAGAAAAAATACATTGAAGAATAGCTTTAGTTAGAGATGAAGACCTTTAAAAATAATGGCAAGAAGGAAGCTAATTTATATCACTAAGGAAAATTCCTCTCGAACTAAAAGTCATAGCTCGTCTTAAGGACAACATAAGTGGTTTCAATGAAGCAAGGCTAGATGAAGTCCACAATGGTTGCTCTAAGATTACAGGTCAATCAACTAGCGTAGGAAAGATGTATTGAACAGATCGTCTCAAGGAGGTCTTGGTTAGGTTATAGTGGAGGTATTTTGGAATGTGCAGGTGCCCTCAAATTGATCAACCTTGGCCTATTGTTGATCGTGAGGAAGGTAAACTCCATTATGTTGTGATGGTATTCTCTAGCAAGTACAGTTGAAGGATTTGATTTTGAGGCTCCTCTATCGCACGAACACGATTATCCAAGGACAAGCCCAACAAACCTTACCAATTAATAATATCCTTTATTGAAAGACAAGTTCCTTAATTGATGAGGGCTATAGCAAGTGGCTCCATTGCAAAAGAGTTTGTGAACACAGATAAAAATGTTGAAGAGACGCAAACATTTTTATGTGAAAATTTTGGAAAGCAACAAAATTACGATACTAGACCCAATAAAAAATTTTCATTAAGTGAGTGAATATTATAAAAATCTAGGGGTGTCAATATTTGACACGACATGAAAATCCGACCCAGAAATTTCAGGTTGGACCCAACCCATTTGAAAAACAAGTCGGGTTCGGGTTCCAGAATTCGACCCGTTTAAAAAATGGGTCGGGTTCGGGTTGACCCAACGGGTTGCCAGGTCAATCATTAAGTGAGTGAATATTATAAAAATCTAGGGGTGTCAATATTTGACACGACATGAAAATCCGACCCAGAAATTTCAGGTTGGACCCAACCCATTTGAAAAACAAGTCGGGTTCGGGTTCCAGAATTCGACCCGTTTAAAAAATGGGTCGGGTTCGGGTTGACCCAACGGTTTGCCAGGTCAACTCGCCAACCCGTTTAAAATGAGATGCTTGCACTGCCCCTGCTGCCCGCGATCCTGCCCTAGCTGCTCGCGCACTGTCCGCGGCTGCCCGAGCCCTGCCCGCTCAGCTGCCCATGAGACAGCACTTGCAAGCC